AAATTTCAACATATATGCAGATGACACCCAACTCTATCTCTCTGCCTCCACCCTCAACTCCAGGACTACTGGAGTCCTGACCGACTGCGTGTCCGACATCAAGTCCTGGACGAGGGACAACTTTCTCCAGCTGAACGTCAGCAAGACCAAGGCCCTCCTGATTGGCTCGTGCCAGCCACTCCGCACCTCAGGCACTGGCAGCATCAGCATCCACGGCAGCACACTCAACCTCACTAAGCCAGTCAAGAACCTGGGTGTCTTGTTTGACCCTGAACTGTCCTTTCTCCCCCACATCTGCGCCATGACTGGCACTGCCTACCACAACCTCCGCAACATCGTCAGACTCCGCCACTGCCTCACCCCTCAAGCTGCCAAAACCCTCACCCATGCATTCATCACATCAAGGCTCAGTTATGGAAATTCCCTCCTCATCGGCCTTCCCAACTCTTTCCTTCACAAGCTGCAGATCATCCCAAACTCTGCAGCTCGTGTACTCTCGCGCGCTAGGCTACGTGACCCCATCACTCCCACCCTCGCCCAACTCCGCTGGCTCCCCATCCCTCAAAGGATCGAATTCAAGATCCTCGTCCTTACTTTCAAAGCCATCCATGGCCTTGCCCCCTTCTACCTCTCTGACCTGCTGACTCCCTACCAACCTGCCCGCTCCCTCAGTTCAGCGGGCTCCAGCCTGCTCCATGTCTCCCACCCGACCTGCCCTACTATCGGTGGCTGCTTTCAGCCCCTCTGCCCCCGCACTCTGGAACTCCATCCCACAGTCCCTTTGCCTCGCTTCCTCCCTTGCCTCCTTCAAGGCCGGTCTCAAGACCCTCCTCTTCGATCTTGCCTTTGGTCGCCCTCCCACCTCTCTGCCTTCCCTCACCCCTACCGCACCCCCCTCCCCCATGCTCGGATCCTGACTTCTGACTGTCCAGCGCCTTGAGACTTCCTCCCGACGTGAAAGGCAGTCTATAAATGTAATTTTCTTGTTGTCAGATTATAAATTTCCAACATTCTTTGGACGCTCCCTTTCTCTTGCTTTAGTGTCTCTTCTGAAACATTGTGAGTTATTTTTAAGAACGCATTTAAAAATATATTTTACCAATCAACCAGATTAGGAGAGTTCCGCAAAACCAAGAACATCTGCTCATGATGAAAAAAGCTTTTGTGTGGCTTTCGTTTTGTTCCTGTAAGCCCTGTGATGTACCAAGGTATAACAGATGTGCTTGCAGTATACTGTACTTACACTTTGTATTGGAAAAAACTTTGTCCTTGCTGTTTTATTCAGTAATGTGACCTTTCTTCAATTAGATACGTAACTGGAATTCTATAACATCATCTGCAGATTCTTTTGTAACCTTGAAATGTTTTTAACAAAAATGTCACAAAATGGTTATACATGTTTGACCTCTGCTTCTTCCTTTTAAATAATTTGATTATAAAATATATTGTTCATGTATTGGTTTGACTCAACTGAAAGCATGTTCACCTCTAGGTTAGAAGGTTGTGGTCCTGAGTAGCACACCAAGATTTGAGTTTATAATCTAGATTGACATGAGAGTACTGTATTTTTGGATATACTGTTTTTCAGGTGAGACTTAAAACTGAGGCCCTATCTGTCCGTGCTCATAGTTTAGGTACCATTTTGAAGGGAGAGATATTCTGGTGCTTTGACCAATATTCTTCTTGTCCAAATTCGCAAAAAACAGATTAATTGGTCATTCATTTGTTTGTACATTAATTGCTAGGTTTGCCTATATAAGGGATCACTACACATTGAAGTAACTCATTATGCAAGACCTTTACAGGACAGCATGTGACATGCAAGTTACCTTGATATTCTTGAGGTCCAAATTCAATGCCTGGCAGGACCTGGAAGAGTAGACTGGTCACTGGAGGCAGGGAGCCATCCTACTCTGCTCTTGTTAACCCAAAGAGGCAAGCCAAAGCCCCAATGGATAGGATGGTCCTAGCTGGACAAGTAGCAGGAAAGCTTGCTGGACAGCAATATCAATGGCAAGGTATTTGTTTTTTAGCTGGGTAAACTCCAGCAGTACCCCAACACACACTCCGGGGTCACCAAGCCTTGGCTCATGCCAATCTGCACCTAATACTTTCCGGAATTAGATAAGCAGGCTGCATCCTTCCAGGGAGAGAGTGCGCTTTCACGTCAAGGACATCCCAAGGCATTGGATAGTCAGAAATTTGGACCCGAGCTGGGGTGCGTATTAATATAAACAAGCCAACATTTTTAAAGAATAATTCAGTGAAAAATAATATTAATTATTTGTAAATCTACTCTGAAAATACACTATGCAGTAAACCTCCAGATAAAAAGCAATCTTGGGAGTCATAGTGAAAGTGTGTCTAAAATGAGTGTTAAAATATTAGTGAAGGGCGATAAAAATGCACCATCTTATATCATGGCATATTGGAGGGCTCATAAGAAGTGTCTGTTCAAATAAAAATGTATTGTAAAAGAATTGCATTAATCCCAGCAAATGAGCATATAGTTTTTAACGAGAAGCACATCATCTGTGAGCTTCCACATGAGAGCAATATCTGCTTTATTAGCTGACAAAGGTTTATGTTGTGCTGTCAGAAGCCGCCAGTTCTTGTTTTTTTGTTACCTGGCTGAATGCCAAGCCTGTGCTTCCTAATGCGTCAAAAGGTTGCTACCATCCCAGATGGGGTGAAACCAATGAGCCATAGGGCACGCATTCAATAAAAAAGGAGTCAAAGAGTGAACTTAAACCACATCATCTGGTGTAAATACAAAACTGCTGCCAGAAACCCCAAGGCTAAGGCAGAGATGGAATGACTGCCAAGTATTAGAAAAATCTAAGATTTACTATAAAGTGTCATTTTCTTTGAGGGCTTAAACTTTTTTTTGTATTAAGTATTGCTTTTTTAATAGTGGGTTTAAGGTGAAACCACTTGAGCTAGTAAGTACTGAGATAAAAGTCTGTGTTTGATGAATGAAAGTGCTCTGTACGCTCGCGTGTGGGTTCTTGGCATGCTGCCATGTCTTTGGGGAGTGTTGAGATTATTGATGACATAGAACACTTGTGCTTTTGGCATGTACAGCTGATTCAAACTGGCAGTAGAATTGGTGCCTGGAGGATCAGTGTATTTTATATTGTGTTCACTTGCACAATGGACAATTATTTATGCAGGGCACCTGTTTAGACCAAACTATATACTGATTTGTGTAGGTAGCTTTTAATTTCGAAAGCTTCATTTTGCATCTTTAATTTATTTGGGACATAAAGTTATACATGCTTTTCTGTGCTATTTTTCGAACATACTGTATGGCCAGCCAAACATTAATCATTTATATCCAAACTGCCAAAATAGGATTGTATTTTTATTCCAATGTTTGTTGATTTTTAAATCTGTTTTGGTTTAACAATTGATGTCAATTTCTAGCTGTATTTCCTGAATTTTTCATGGCGTTTGAGGTACATTGAATACATTTGTTGACTGCTGCACAGTATAAATTTGTCTTCGCTCAGTTAGTGTAGCAATAAGAGCAATTACTGCAGAACCAGATCGTTATTGGTTTGAGCCTCAGTTGCCAATTAGTGCAATCTGCAAACCAGTGGTGGTGATTTGTCATTGGTTGCTTCCCCTCCCTTACAACTCTGTCTCGTACCCCTCTGTTTTCGTCTTAAATCTTGCCTCAATCTTATTTGAATGTGTCCATAGCCACCTGAAGGTAGGATTGTGTGTCAGATTACTTTTTTTGTTATATCCTGTCCGGGAGTCCTTGATGGGTGTTACAAGAGTTTCTCCAGCTATGGTAGCAGAATTGACGTTTTGGAATGACCGAGCTTTATAAAAAACAACAGAATTACATTTATAGAGCGCCTTTCACGTCAGGAGGACATCCCAAAGCGCTGAACAGTCAGGTGTCGGGGCCGAGAATGGGGGAGGGGTGGTGTAGGAGTGAGGGAAGGCAGAGAGGTGGGAGGGAGACCAAAAGCACGGTCGAAGAGGAGTGTTTTGAGACCGGCCTTGAAGGAGGAAGGGAGGAAGCGAGGCAAAGGGACTGTGGAATGGAGTTCCAGAGTGTGCGGGCAGAGAGGCTGAAAGCCCGGCCACCGATGGTAGGGCAGGTCGGGCGGGAGACATGCAGCAGACCGGAGCCCGATGAATGGAGGGAGCGGGCAGGTTGGTAAGGAGTCAGCAGGTCAGAGAAGTAGGAGGGGGCAAGGTCATGGATGGCCTTAAAGGTGAGGACGAAGATCTTGAACTCGATCCTCTGGGGGATGGGGAGCCAGTGAAGTCGGGCGAGGGTGGGAGTGATGGTGTCGCAGAGCCTGGTGCGTGAGAGTACACGAGCTGCAAAGTTTTGGATGATCTGCAGCTTGTGAAGGGAAGAGTTGGGAAGGCCGATGAGGAGAGAGTTCCCATAATCAAGTCTTGAGGTGACAAATGCGTGGGTGAGGGTCTCAGCAGCCTGAGGGGTGAGGCAGTGGCGAAGTCTGGCAATATTGCACAGGTGATGGTAGGCAGTGCCGGTCATGGCACGGATGTGGGGGAGAAAGGACAGTTCAGCGTCAAACAAGACACCAGGATCCTGACTGGCTTAGTGAGGTTGAGTGTGCAGCCATGGATGCTGGTGTTACCAGCGCCTGAGGTGCAGTGGTGCTGGCTTGAGCCAATCAGGAGAGCCTCGGTCTTGCTGACGTTGAGTTGGAGAAAGTTGTCCCTTGTCCAGGACTTGATGTCGGACAGGCAGTCGGTCAGGACCCCAGTAGTCCTGGCGTTCAGGGTAGAAGCAGAGAGGTAGAGTTGGATGTCATCCGCATACGTGTGGAAATTTACCCCATGTCTGCAGATGATGTCACCAAGGGGTAAAAGGGTACAAGTATTTCGGATGAAAGGAGAATCTTGTGTTTCTTTAAGGCAGTTTTAGCAATAATTTGCTAATTTATTTGTTGAAGCTGTTATACAAGAAATGTATGTGTTTTTTTTAACAATTGTTTCTTTTTAAAAAGGCAAACGGCATAAAGATTGGACCACAGCATGCTTCAACCGGTGCAACGCTCACAGGTGGCCAGGGAGGACAACAGGGAGGTGGAGGTTGCTGTTGAGATTCTTCGACTTTGTATCTGCTTAACTTGGGCCTCTTTCCTGTTCTGTCACCCTTCCTTCCCCTGCTCCAATGCAAGAAGACCATTATCGTATGGTTTGTCTAATGGGAGAAATCTGGAAAGTCCTTCGTAAATCTTGTAAAGCTGTCGTATATACCGTTAGCAGGAAAAAAAAGTAATTTGCTTAAAAACAGGATTTGAAAATTGTACTCATATCTATTTACATTTGATTTGTTTTTGGTCAATTGTAATTTTTGGTTTTGTGTATTTTGCCCTTGACTACAAACAAAATTGTATTAAACACTACAAATTTCATTTGAGTATTTTAACTAGTTGTGTGAGTTAAAATTCCTATTGCTGTGGTGACTTATTGTTTCATGATATAAAACTATACGAGTTGTCAAATTTCAAATGCTGTGGAGAAAAGCAGGAGGACTGTTTTAATTCTGTATTTATCATCCACTTTCTGTATATATAGTTAAAATAACGGGCTTGGGTGTATGTCGGCCAAGCTAAAATTCCTTTGTAGTTAAGCAGATCACCAGTGTCTTCTGGACTATCTCAGCTTAAAAAAGCAGTATTGCTATAGTCTGAAGCGTTGTCTATACTGAATTTTAGAGGTGGCTTTGACTTTAGGTCTCTTAATGCCATCTGCTTTCTTTCCTCCCCCTTAACCTATGTCCATATGTCCCAGATGTAACTCATGCTAAATGTATATTGTTAGAGACTTCATATCATCTACCACCTATTTTAATGCCAAATGTGTGTTTGCCCAGCTTCTTTAGAGCACCTCTTCAGAAATGGATCAGTGGTTTGCCTTAAAGAATAGTTTGATGTTGAGATTAAAACAAACAGCAGCTGAGAGAGGAGTTTTTTTTGTGTGTGTTTGGGATGGAACATTGAGAAATGTTTACTTTTTTTTCTTCATTGCACCAATACATTTTGTTTGCATGTATTTTCTTTCACCAGTAAATTTAAACAGGTGAGCTTTAGATTAGATGTGAAAGTGATGTAAAAGTTTTTCTTTATTGGCAGTCTGTTCTGTTTTGTAGGTGAAGATCTTGTCTATTGTATTAGGGTGATAAACTAATAAACCTGCCAGAATGAAACCAACCCGATAGAAGACAAACAAGCTTTTACTTAAACCAATACAATTTTAACAATGAAGTTTCCATGTTTAAATCAATTCTATTTAAACTGAATACTGTCTTAATAATAAATGTTAATTGTGAATTGCCATTTGCTCATACTTGAACTGTTGAGCCAGGAGTGCTTTTAACACTACTCGAAGGCTTGGTGGAAACCTTTGCATGGCTGAATATACGTAGTGAAGCCTTTCAAAGAATATTTTCCTAATCTATATGAAAGTCCTTATATGTAGTATTTTGAAGTAAACAAGAAGATGCCAGGAATACAGCAACCACAATGACCATAGTGGCATTTACTCTTTAGCATTGGTTTGCTGAGAGTCTCTATGACAATCTTGCATGAAACTGTTCACAGCCTAAAATAAGTGAGCAGGTTGTAGGAAGCATTTCCAGCAGTTCTGCTACATTAATACTTTTATTCTAAGGGTATGTCTGTATTGCCCTGCGGTATCACTCAATCAAGATCCTTCCTTACTGAAGTGTTCAGATCTGTCACTTAATACAAATGCAGGTAAGTGAATGACTCCCCAAGGCTATCTAACTGAATAAGTAAGATTTATTTTCTGCTAGTTTATAGCTCACATACCGTAATTTCCTACTTTCACACGTGGCTACCAATAAATGTTTATGTACACTTAATGTAAATTGCCAATATGTAACTATTCTAACATATGAGGTACAGCCCTTTTCACTAAAGCTCTATGGCAACATTCTTCACTGCTGTTGCATGGGCATTGTATGTTAACGAGACTGAAATATCATTTAGAAAACCTATTTTCACTGTTATTTACGTTGCCACTGTAACTAAGTGTGGTTTTTAAACTAAAAATGTGTGCTTAAATTAAGAATTTGTCACCTTGTTCTTTGCATTGTATGTTTTTTCGATGGGGAGGGGAAAGAAAGGAATAGAGTTGCTATCTGTCTGCCTTTCCTTGAATAAAACTTTGCATCAGGAACTTAAAACATAGTAATTTCTACTTCAATAGCATCTTCAATGAGATACATTTCTAGTTCCCATTTGTGTATCCATAAACTACTTTTAGTACCTTAGCTTAAATTCGGTTGCAGGTTGAGATCTATGTCATGCGTTAGCGATTCGGGATTATGTGGTGGAGCAAGGTGGGGGGAGAGGGGAATAAGAAGATAAATCAGCCTGGCTTTCCCACACCTGATTGCTATCCAATGACCCCTGATGGAAAGTGTGCTTTGGGTTATGAAAGCAGAATTGAGCTCCGCATTCCAACCTCAAATGGTCTTTCATATGCACGCAATCAATGACCACGTGGGTGAAAAAAGGAATACTGCTTCCTGTGGAACCATACATTAGGAAGAAATTAAATAGGTTGGATGGTGGTAGATTGTTAAAGAAAAGACTTGATGAGCTAAATGGCTTAAACTTATCCAGAATTTGAAGCTTGTTGCACATTGTAAAAGCACAAAAAANCCATTTTAATGTAGTAAATTGAAAATATGTAATGATATTTGCATATTTGCCTCATTCTGCTTCAATGATTTCTACAACCTCTGCAATCGGGACACCGTATGGCAGGTAGTCTTGCTTTCAGCTTCATTTCTGAACTACTGTTAAGAGTTCTATAGAACTGCTAAGGGGTGGCTTAACCACACAGGAAATAGAAAATAGTTCTGCTTCATGTAAGATTTCACATACTGTCAGTGGTTACATCTTGTTGTGTGAAATGACACTTTCAGATTATTGTTTGAGGTCTTGTTAGTAGACTAGTATATTCTGATCTCCTTAAATGGGAATCATTCATTTTCTTAAAACTGCCAACACTGACTTTCTTAGTGGTATTCCTGAAGTAGTAGCTTTAAAAGTTAGAAATGTACAATGAAGTTGCTATCAAGACAGGTCTATAGATTTGTCTATTATTAAGTAAAATCACCAACTTCTAAACCTGCTTAAAAAGTATATTTTCTACAGGTTGGGTATTCAGTTTAATCATAAGAGATATAGAATTCTACATGAATCTCCACTATTGAAAGAGTCAACTCTTAACTTTTATGAACTCAATTTATTGAAAGTCAGCCAGGAGAACCATGAGTGACCAATCCAATTAATAATAGTGAAACACAAAACTGAACAATGCATTATGAAAATTCTTTCTATAGGTAATTTCGATCCAAATATTGAATATTTCCATTTTTGATTCAATAGCAACTAGGAGGTGGTCATTGGCATGGTGGAAGAGGAAGGTCTTTGGGTACAATCTGAAGGTGAGCAAAGAGGGCCAAGATGGAGGGATTGAGGAAGGGAATTCAAGTTTTGGGAAGTAGTGGCTGAAAACATGGAGGGGACAAGGAAAGGCCAACCCTGACTAAGTGACGTGGTCAGGTAGAGTTGGATGTGAGCGGAGTTGAGAGGTAGGGAGCTGCTAGGGAATTAAGTGATTTGAAGTGCAACTGGTCTCAGTATGGCAAACAAATCTGTCATGGTTTCTGCTTACAATTACAATTCAGTGACCCTGCTGGGAGTGGGTTGAGTGGATAGAGCTTGGCTATGATGACATCTACAGTCGAATAGTTTGCTGGAGCTCACATCCTAGGAGCACCCACGAAGGTTGTATCAACCCACTTCTGTGCAATATTTGTGGGTCGATACAACCTGTGTAACTATCCAAATGACAGAGGCAGGAAGAAAATTTGAGATGGGATCAGTACATATGTATTTCTGATTCTACATTTGCCTTTCACAAGTAATAATGAATGTAGTCTCACTCCAGTTTTTTAAAAAAACAAGAGTTGTGATATTAGTTGACTAATTATTTGTCACATTTGTCTTATCCTTCAGATAGAGACTACGGTGTACCTGCTAGGATTGATTGTCCACAGCTTACCTATGTAGTCAGGTTTTATCAAAAGTTAGGTTTTTATTCCATGCCTTAAATCATTTTAAGTAATAAAACTGACTTGAACATGTAATCTTACTCAGTGTATTTGTAACAGAAAAACACGGGAGATGTTGCAGGAGTACAATATAATCAATTGGTGTCTGCTTCCACACCTAACTTTGCTTGATCATACACATCATATACTTCTAACCAAAAGGATTGTCGGGTGATGTGCTCAAACTTCATCAGTGTTGCTGTTGTGGCCTATTCAAAGGTATGTAACTCTCCCAAATTTAATGGCACATGTTTAACCTTTCACCTTTTTATATTAAGTCAACAATTATAATCTTGTATTTGACATAACTCCTTTAATGCAAGGAGGATGTCTCAAAGTGCTTCACAGGATATTGTGTAAGGTGTAGTGTATTTTGTAGGCACATGTGCACAGCAATATCCCACAAACAGCAATGAAATGAGTAACCAATTTAACTGGGGGAGGACACTGTTGGCCAGGTCACCAGGAGAAACTTCCTTCTGTTTTTGAATAGTGGATCTTTAATATCCACCTGAACAGGCAGATAGGACCTTGGTTTAACGTCTCATCTGAAAGTTGGCATCTCCAACAATACAAGACATCTTGTTGGATTCTTTGTAATTTATACCTAGACCAGACTGTCTCATTCAAAAGGGGTTTTGCGACCTAACCCCCTACCATCCTGCTCGCTCTCTTCGCTCAGTGGGCTCCAGCTTCCTTCACTCCCCTGCCTCACTCGCCCCACTATTGGCAGCCAAGCCTTCTGCCACTCTGCCCACACCTTCTGGAACTCCATCCCGCAGTCCCTCTGCCTCAACCCCTCCCTTGCCTTCTTCAAGACCCATCACAAGACCCTCCTCTTCGACCGTGCTTTCGATCTCTTTGCTTCCCCTGCTACCCTCCATCCTCCCTGACCTTCAGCTTGGGTCCGAATCTCTGTCCAGTGTTTTGGGACGTCCTTCCGATGTGAAAGGTTCTATACAACTGTAATTTTGTTGTTTTTTAACCTGATATGATTGTACAGTGGAAATCTTAATGTGGTAGTTTCAAAAATACAGAACACAAATAATAAGAAATAATACTTGCAGTTCTTGGGAGCTGGCCACGAGACATGACCATTAATCCAACTCAAC